CAGGGGTTCAAGACCAGTCTGGGCAACTTGGCAAGACCCTATCTCTACCATAAATCAAATAATTAGCCAGGAGTGGTAGTGCGCACCTGTGGTTCCAGCTACTTGGAAGGCTGAGGTGGAGGATTACCTGAGCACAACAGGTAGAGGCTGTGGTGGTCATGAGTGTGTCACTGCATTCCATCCTTGGTGACAGTGAGACTACAACTCAAAAATAAATAGATGATAGATAGATAGGTGGATAGATAGATAGATAAGAAAAGGACATGTTTGTAACATGTTTAGGATTTGCTTTATCAGTAAGAAGCTTGAGTAAGACAGATGTTTCGCATTCAACATCTTCCTAAACAAAACAGAACAAGTGTTTATTAGTCCAGTAAACATCTAATAGTAATTCATAATGCAGGGGCAATGGGAAAAGGCTGGGGTAAAGATATCAAACAAATCTTCTCAGTCTTCCATCTACAGTTTAGATGGAAGATTGACTAAGTAACTGATATTAGGGCAAATCAGTATATTCACACCTTCATAATAACTACAAGGTATGAGAGTACCCACACAGAACCAGGTTAAAGTCTGTCATCCACAGGCAGGCAAGAGGGTTCTCGGTGGGACAATATAGCATATTAGCATATGTGTTTGTGGAGTCACTGATCTGTGCATGCTAAGCCATCTCATATTTGAGCCCATTGCATCAGTTCTTTTAATTGGAATTGTTTTCATTCTGAAAAATTTCAAACAAGATTCTACAACAATCAAGTCACGCTTGCTAAATTTAATCAGGTGTGGGGTCTTCTTGTAAACTATTTTGAAGCTGTCTTTAGCCCTTATGTCATTTCACTTATACATATTTCTATAAGTTACAGGCATTTAAAGAAATCTAACCATACCACCAATATCACTGCTAACAAAATAATAATTCCTTGATGTCATTTAACACCCAGTCCCTATTCACATCTCCCCAGTTGTATCCAAAGTGCTTTCTTCATTTTTTTTTAATGACCCAAGTGAGGTCTCTGAAGTCTCTCAAACTGGAGAACATTTTCCCCCTCCTGTGTGCCACTGACTGGACACTAGAAACTCTGTTCCTTCTGTAGAGTGTCCCATGTGCTCCCACATGGTGATATTCAGCTGGGCCATTTTTTCCCTGAACATTAGAATTTGCTTCACAGATGTTTTGTGAGAATTAAATTAATCCACAAGTTATGAGACTTTTGTGTTCCCCATTTTGTGCATGGAGATACACAAGCTCAACAAGACAGGAGTTTGCCAAGTAAGTGACAGAGCCAGACGCCCAACTCCAAAGCTCAGTCTGCTCTACACCTAGAGCTTCTAACCCTTTGTAATATCATTACTATTAAACAGAATTAAATAGAATGAATCAGAGTTAACCAGAATATAATTATAGTTTCTTATATATATATACACACAGAATTAATCAGAAATTCCTGATCAACATGGTCAGTATGAATACACATTATCAATGAAAAACTCAGTACTGAAAGAAAAACTGAGTTTATCAGGGATACCCTTATAGTATAATTATTATACAACAGAAAGAAATCAAATCCAAAGATATTATTAAAAATATACTGAAACACCTTTTCTAATATAGATATATTGATGTTTGAAATAAAAGCATTTTTAAAAACTTAAATTATAAAGACGTTCAAAGAAGGAACTGGTTTGTAACAAAATGTACCAGTTTGCACTTTTTTAGCTGAAGGAAGTCCCAGGACTTCAGAACTTTTCTACCCTTATTGTCAATTACTATTTCACTATTAAAATATAAATAAGTCAAACCTAAAAACACAGCCACATCATGTTTTCCTAAGCTTTGGCCCCCTCTTCTACCTTGGGGAGGTGAAGCTCTCTCTCTCATTTGCTTTCTAAATAAACTATATTTTTCAGTCTTAAAAAAAAACCTAAAAATACAAAAGAGGCTTCCAAGTATGGCAAGCCCATGTTTGGCTTTACTGGCTGCATATAAACAAAGGATAATAATTCTTTATCTAAGCTCGGAATTTCCTTAAGGGAAAATTAAGATCATTTCCATATATGCTAAACAGGAAATATCAGTGGCAGGATACGTTAGTCTTGGCTGGACATTGAGCTTATGAATATGTTCTACCATCATATCACATCCTCAACATAGGTATTAGGTAGCACTGCAGCAGAGAAAGGATAGCTTTTTAGCAAATAGTGCTGGAACTACTGAATACTGAATATTTATATTCAAGAAGTGAACCCTGATCCACACCTTGTGCCATATTCAAAAATCAACAAAACTGGAACATAGACCTAAAGGTACAACTTAAACTGTAACATTTCTGTAAGAAACCTCAGGAGATCATCTGTGTTAATTTGGGTTAGACAATGAATTCTTAGACATGACACCAACGGCACAATCCACAAAAGAACTAATCAATCAACTAGACTTCATCAAAATGAAAAACCTCAGCTCTTCAAAAGACAGTTGAAAGAATAAAAAGACAAATGGGAACCCAAAGGGAGGTCCAAACTTTACCTGTACAATGTCCACTTGTATACCTAATCCTGAATTGTACCCCACATCTTTAAAATAAAATATATACATAAAAAAATAAAGTTTAAAGTCTGTGGAAAAAACGAAAGAATGAAAAGAGAAGCCACAGACTGGGAGAGCATATTAGCAAAACACTTATCTGACAAAGAAACTGTATCCAACATATATAAAGAAATCTTAAAAATCAACAATGAGAGAACCTAACAAAAAATGAGCAAAAGGTCTGAATATACACCTCACCAAAGAATATGCTCTGTATCTCTAATACGGAGAGAAAACATACAGAAGAAAAGATGCTCAACTTCATAGGTCACTAGGGAATTGCAAATTAAAATAATGAGATACTAGAGCACCCCTATTAGGACAGCTACAATCCAAAATACTGACAATACCAAATGCTTTTAAGAATGCAGGGCAGCAACAACTCTCATTCATGCTAGTACTGGAAAGTGGAGAGACATCAGCAAGATGGCAGAACAGGAAGCCCCTGATTCTCTCCCAATACCTGAGATACAGACTTAACAATATACGGACCAATTTTCCGAATAATCCAGGAACCAGTTAAGAGACACCCGCATCCCAGAAGAGCACAAAACCAGCTGCATCTCCATTAGGAAATCTGAGGCACTCGTACCATAGTCTACTCCCACAGCTCATCAGGGAACCTGCAGGAGAGAATCCCCAACTTCTGGCTTCTCCCAGGGAAGAGAAGAGTTGGAGCATGAGTCCAGCATTGGGGCTGTTCAAGGAGCTGTCCACGTGACTGGTTTCTGCTTAGCAGCACGGGCAGGATTTGGCACACTCTAGATCCCTGGGGCTGCTCATAATAGCTTCAGAAGAGCTGTGGTACAGTAGAGGCTAAGATAGCATGCTGGCCTCTCCCTGCGGAGGTGAGAAAAGAGCAGAGTGTGTGCCCATTGTTCTAGCTTTTCAGGACTGCCTAAGAGACTGGTTCTCACTTGCCTGGTTTAGAGCACTGACAGGACCTGGAATACTCTAGAAGCCTGGGGGCTGCTGATTACAAGAGTGGGGCAGTTTGTGGCAGTGCCAGAAAACCTACAGTACTGCAGACAGACACCAGACATCATCTATATTTTAAATTATATTTATAATATAACAATTATAAATATATACACACTCAACATCAGAACACTCAAATACCTGAATCAAACTCATTTTATGAAGTCAACATTACCCTGATACTAAAGCTAGGCAAAGATATGAAAGAAAACATAAAACAAAAAAGCTACAGGCCAATATCACTCATGAATATAGATACAGATATCCTCAACAAAACACTACAAACCAAATTCAACAGCACATTAACAAAATCATACACGTGACCAAATGGGATTTATCCCTGGGATGCAAAGATGGTTCAATATATAATATTAATTAATATAATGCACCACACTAACAGAAAGGATAAGAATCACATGATAACCAATAGATACAGAAAAAGTAACTGAAAGCATTCAACACTCTTTCATCACAAAAACACTTTCAACTATTAGAAATAGAAGGAAATTACCTAAACATAATAAAAGTCACACATAAAAGGCCCATAAGGAACAAGACACATCTATTCAATATAGCATTGAAATAATGCTGAGCAGCTAACATCCAGAAGAGATCTCATAATCGGTACTACTCAAAATGCTGTTCTACAAACTGTTACCGGCCTATAATGACATAAAGAAGGTAAATCAACAACCACATTAAGCATACCATGTACTTTAGCTGATGATTTTTTTAAATTTTAAATAAAAATAATTAATAAAAATAATAATTTTCTCTAAAAAAAAGCATTTTCTGTGCTTGACATAAAATATCAGGGGGAAAAAACATGAAAACTGAGCTATAAGTCTTGGGGTATCCATCAAAACTTAAACATTTAAATTTCTTAATGAAAAAAAAGAACATGTCTTTAGATACATCTGGAATAGCTCTGCTTACATCACTTTCAGATATTAGTTAACTCTCCAAGTCTATGCTCATCATATGATGAGAACAGTATTAATTGCTCAGGACACCTTAAAGAATAATCGAAGCCGGGCTCAGTGGCTCAGCCTGTAATCCCGAGCCTTTGGAAGGCTGAGGTGAGTAGATTGCCTGAACCCGCGGGTTCAAGACCTGCCTGGGCAGCGAGACCTCATCTCTACAATAAATTTTTTAAAAATCAGCCGGGCGTGGTAGCACACGCCTGTAATTCCGGCTACTCGGAAGGCTGAGGTGGAAGGATCGCCGGAGCTCAGCAGGTCGAGGCTGCGGTGGCCGGGAACGGCCACTGCACTCCAATCTGGGCAACAGAGTGAGACTCCAACTCAAAAAAAAAACAAACAAAAAAGAATAATCGAATGCTCTAATGTGCCATAAGCTTGCACACAGCAGATACCATTTAACTGTGTATTATTGACTACTGAGCTATGTGAAAAGTCATTTGAAATAAAACAATATATAAAAATAAGACTTTTTTATTTGTTCAGAATGCTTGTTTTTAAAGTTAACTATGTTTAAAAATGGTTTGTTTTCCAATAAATTTATTAACATCCAAAAGTGTCAAATTCAATATTAAGAGTTTATAACAAAAATGGACTTGTATATAGTCTTATCTGATATCTGGATAGTATATACACTATACAATGACATCTATTCTTTTTATCACAGTGGTTTCCCAATCAGACATAGAAATGCAGAAATAACAATGTTATGTTCCTTTTTCCATATTTTAGATTTTACTTTCTTGAATACACAAACTCAAAACTATTCACATAATTTGGAGTATTTTTTTGTTGTTCATGTCAGATGAAGAGCTGTTCTCTAAGAAATTTTATATTTTATAGCTTTCCTTTGACATATGAGAAAGATATGGAATCTCCTGAGTTATATATACAGCTTATATAATCTTTTAAAAAGTTACTTTTTTAAAAAATCCAAATTAATCACATATTCATAATAGATGTCCTCGCTATTCATATAATTCTTTAAGCAATAGTCAATATATTTGTGCTTTGCATGTTTACAATACTTTAGAACCTATTTTTACCTTTTAATAAAATTGTATATCTACAAAGATTTCTCAAATATTTAATAAATGAGGCAAAACAATCATTATGAAAATATAACCTGCTACTAAAAATTTTTCATCTTTCATTTTATGTACTTCCTGCCAACCATGTAATTTCCTGTTCTTTAGGGATGATGATGAATTTTTATCTCAGTCATCTCAACACTGCTGCTTTCTCAGCCCAGTGTTAACAGCCGATCTGTCACAGGGCTTCTGGTCACTCTGCCCTAGCAGCTTAGCAGTGAAGTCTGAGCGTGCTGGTACTCATCATCTCCAGTTATTTCAACTGCAGGACCACCTTAAAACACAAATGGAGGGGAAAATATCAGTTATACCAGGTTGATGCTGGCATGTACTAAATAAAATGCTTGGAAATCTCTGACCAAGGGCACAGAGACCTCCTAACAGATGAAAACAATGCACAGCAATGGACGGAACATGCCTGTCAGGATCTGTGGTTCAGAACCAGGCCCTACGCCTCCTTCCCACAGCTCTCGTCAGCCTCTAGCCACGCTCTAGCCACCGGTGTGGTTATGGCACACGTGGACTAGTCATTAAGGCCCTCAGATATCTGAGCAAGCATGAGCATGAAAAGAGGCTGGAGGTCATCAGGATTTTAAAAAGAGGGATTGGAAAGACTGAGGAGTGGCAAGAGAGGTTGGAAGAATAACTGAGATTTAATTGCTGGGACTAGATCATCAGGGAAAATGCTGAGCAATCATGTAGGAGCACATATACAGAGAGCATTATTCTTATTTCTTCCTCATGCAATAGTTTCTACCATTCAGTGTTCTTCTCACTTATTAAATACTGGGAGTGGCTACTGTTATTCAGCCAGGCTGCTGTCACTGGGAAGTCTGGGCACATTTATTAGTTCTGTCTTATCTCAGCCTCACTTTGTCATAATAACTACAAGCTGTATTTTATGCCTCGTACTTACAGGATTATAAAAGCAAGTCTCCATGATTTGTCTGATCAAACAAGTCACTCTTTTTTTTTTTTCAAGATCATAATTATTTTTTAAAACAATAAAAGTTCTTCAGAATCAACTAATTTCATGGTCTTCAGGTAAAAATTTTATTTTTTATCATTAATGAGCACTGAAGCAAAGCAAATTCAGCTGCTATAATAGTGCTATTATTCTTTCAAAAATAACTACTTGATACATTATACTTCGAACTAAGTAACTGAACATTCAAGTTGGAATTAATAGCTAAGACTAGAGATTAGAACATACCAACAAAGCATTTTCTGTGCCTGACATAAAATATCAGGAGAAAAAACATTAAAAGTGAGCTATAAGTCTGGGGGTAGCAATCAAAACTTAAACATTTAAATCACCTGATAAAATCAAAACAAATACCTTATTCGCAGCTTCCAAGGAATGTATTAGATTCTGCAGTTCCTCCTTGCTCATTTCTACAGAATACGGCTTTACTTCACCATTTTCTCTTATATCTAGATGAAGGTTTAAAAGTGGCATGTGTAATGTAGCAATCTTGTCACTGGAAAGTGCAAGCTGTTTAAAATCAGGAAAACAGCAATTAATAAATAGTCAAAAGGCCAGTGGTAAGTATGCATCAGTGCTTCGTAACAGGACATTTTTTTAAAAGTGCTCCTGTTTGCTGACCAGTACAGGGAAAAGTGGAAGAAATAAATTAAACCCATGCCAAAACAACACACACTGGCATAACAGAAAGGGAGTGGAGAGTAAATTAAATAAAGAAAGCAGATAGGAAAAACAGCTAGTCAGCAACTGTGCAGCAGAAGCAGATGTCCAGATCAGAGCCGTGACTGGGGAGTGCTGGATAGGTCCAATGCAGCAAGAAACAGGAGAATTCTCCAAGAAGGCCACAGACACCCAGAGGATACAAGCTCATGTCCAATGATGAATGAAAATACCAGTAAGTTCTTAGAAATTAAAATGCCTGATTTATGATCAGCAAACTACCAAAATACTAATAAATATGTTATCAAGACACCATTTTCAATGAGAGCCACTCAACAAAAACACTCCACCCATTTACCTCACTTCTTGGTTTCTGCCTTTGGCATGTATTCTAGGGGAATGAGAAGAACCAAATATACTCACACTTTTTTAGACAAGTACTATACCTTTCTTGGAGAATAGCAAACAGAAACTCTACTTTCCTGGAACTTAAACCAAAACCCCACAATAACTGAATCTTTGTTTAGAGTGCAACCACCTGCAACAAGTTACTCATGCAATGGTAAGGGACAACTTCCCTGACAAACAACCTCAAAGGATCTCCCTTGGGGTACACGTGATATAGAATCAAATCCTCACACATCTCTTCCTCTCCTACTCCAAAGACAGGACCCACAACGCCTGAGATTTGGAAGTATCACCTTCAGGTTGTCTATCCTAGGCATAACTCTTCTCCTCAATATCTCCATCAAATGATTTTGGTCTTTGCTTGACCATCACCAGTGATGAGGAGCTTCCTACCTCAGGAAAAGGTTGAATCACTGCCAGATACTCACAGGTGTTAAAAAGTTCTTCCCGCTGGGCTCGGTGGCTCAGCCTGTAATCCCGTGCCTTTGGGAGGCTGAGGTGAGTGGATTACCTGAGCCCGTGGGTTCGAGACCCGCCTGGGCAGCGAGACTTCATCTCTACAATAAATCAAAAAATCAGCCGGGCATGGTAGCGCATGCCTGTAATTCCGGCTACTCGGAAGGCTGAGGCGGAAGGATCGCCGGAGCCCAGCAGGTCGAGGCTGCGGTGGCCAGGAGCGGCCACTGCCCTCCAGTCTGGGCGACAGAGTGAGACTCCAACTCAAAAAAAAAAAAAAAAAAAATAAGTTCTTCCCTAGGTTGAATTCAAATCCATCTTAATGCAAATGATATGCTTCAGTCAATCTCCTAGTCTCTGGAGCCACAAAGTGTACAGGCATTCCATAATCCACATGACTCTTAGTCTTTTAAAAATAAGTGTCATGTTTCTCCTGGGCTTATTCTTTTCCAGCTACATGGTCTCAGTGTTTCAAAGCAACTTCACATACCATGATTTTAAGTTCTTGTCATTCTTTTCTGATTGGGTTACAATCTGTTCAACTATCTCTTAAGTTTCGCAGCCAGAAATAAAAATATGATTAAACTACTAAAAAGATGCAATGTTTGAAAGACAGAACATATTAAACTATCTTTTGCCTGAAGATCTGCATTTCAACCACAAAACACAAGACTGAATCAACATCAGTCAAGCGACACTCTGGTAAACAAAGACAACTAATTCCTTCTCGTATATGCTGCTATTAACACTGCTTTCTTATCTGTTATCTTTATAAAAATATAAAAGCCATATTTAAATGAAGAGCCCTTACTTAGTGACCCCTCATTCATTAGTTTGGTTATATTTGATCCATTATTGTAATTGGCCGTAAAGTAATTTTAAACTTAAATTGTATCATATATTGACTATATCTCTAACTTGGTGTCACTCTCAGATCTGGCAAGCATAATATCCATAAAAGTGTTAAAGAAGACTGGGCCAAGACCAGAACCACAAAGACTTTCTTCTTAGCTAACACAGATTCATCTGTCTTTGGGTGGTTATTAACCAGTTATGAACCCACCTTACTGGTTATTTTCCCACATTTTTCTCCACTTAATCCACATCAACAATACAAGGTACTTTACCCAGGGTCATACTAAAAGCCAGAAACACAATATATTTATTCTCTCTTCGTCTGCTAGCCCAAGAACTTTATAAAGGACAAAATGTTTACCTGAAATTGCTCTTTATCAACACTACTGATCGGAACTCTGTTCAAGATGTTTTTGAAACTGTTGTTATAACACATTCTAGGTTTTCCTCCTAGAGATAGAATTACATTTGCCAATCTTAAAAACACTATAAAGTCTAGAAGGTATGGCCACAAACAGATGTTGAATATACACTGCCCCAACACTTTTGACATTTAATGATTTACAGGTCTAGTTAAATTTCTTATCAATGTAATGTTATACATGGCCTAGATACTTGCAGTGTACTAATGCCCAAATTAAGACAAAAGATATAATTTAAACTATCTTTGATATTTCTTTGGGATGATATATTCTCAAAGTAACAAATTTTAGGTATATAATATTATAAAAAAGAATATTCTCTTTATCACAAAAATCAATTAAAAATATGCATACTCATCCATACATTCTCACCTTTAACTGCCAATCAAAATCCTGCAGCTGCGAAGTAGAAATATCAACTATTTCTCCTAACAGAGCCTGCTTGATTTCATCTTTCCTACTTCTCAAGCATTTCATGATAGATTCTTGATGAAAAGAATTCAACTGATTCAGCTGCTGAAATATCTATGAAAATACAAATCAATGGTTAGAAAATAAGCAAAAAGGTCTTTCTATTTAAAATGTAAAAATATCGTTTTTCTATCACACACCTTTTCTAACTACAGTAAAAGAGAAATACTTCTGTAACTATGAAAATAATAAGATGAGAATGAGAAACCAGTAAGTAGGTTTTAACACATTTCTGCAAAACATAAAGTAAAGAAAAGAGGGCCACTGGATGAAGCAGCCTGGACGCAAACACATCTGGAGAGACCAAAGCTGTTGCAGCAACACAGGTTGACTGTTCCTAATCTGGAATCAGAAAACACAAAGGGAACATGCACTGGGGCATTTCAGACTTGGAGTACAGATGCTCCATGGGTAAGCACTATGCGATACTCCAGAATCCCCAAGAATCTAAAATTGGAAACGCTTCTGGTCCCAGGCATTTCAAATAAAGGATACCCAACCTGTATTAATATATCAGACAATGTAGTCCTTGGGTCTAGAAGTACTACAAGAAATGGAGAAGAAGAGCCAAGGGGCCACTCAACAGAAAGAGAGGACAATCATGAATGTGTGCATACTTAAGACCATAGCTTCAAAATATATAGAGCAGCAAAATTTGGCAGCTCTAAAAAGAAGCGGACAACTCCACATCCATAGAGACATAAACTCTCAGTAACTGACAGAAAGAGACAAAAAAAATCAGTAAAGGTATAGAAAAATGAAAAAAACCTTTCTTCTAAACCTCATCAACTTATAAACCACTACACCCAACAACTGTAGAGTATACATTACTTTCAAATGTATCTGAAACATTCACCAAAAAATATCATATGCTGAGCCATGGATGGATCACAAAGAACTGAAATAATATTTTTGAGCACTGTGTAATTAAGTTGTAACTAATAAGAAATGATAACCAAACATTTCCAAATATTGGAAAACTAAGTAATACAATACTACATAATAAAACTTCACTCTTCCAGAGAAGTGAAAAAGAAAAAAAATACTTCACAATTCATTCAACAAGCCCAGAATAAAAACTGACACCTTAACAAGGGCATTATAGGAAGAAAAAAAAAAAAATAGGTAAATTTCACCCACATATAGATGCAAAAATCCTCAACAAAGTATTAGCAATTCAAAGCAAAAGATACATACAAGAAAGGCAATATTTTATGACCAAGAGGTGTTCATTCTGGCAATTCAAGCTTAGTTTAACATTCAAAAATCACCAGATTGACAAAGAGGTCGGGTTCAGGGGCTCATGCCTGCAGTCCTAGTGCTTTGAGAGGCCAGGGTGAAAGGCTCACTTGAGGCTAGGAGTTCAAGATCAGTCAGGGTAACATAGTGAGACACCGTCTTGACAAAATAAATCAGTAAACAACAAAACAAGAAGAAAAAGCTAATAAATTCATGAAAAAGGCATTTGATAAAGTTTAATACCTATCCATTATAAAAATTCTTAGCAAAGTTGGAACTGTTAGAAAACTTTTTAAATCTGATAATGGCTATCTATAAAATTACAGAGGAGCTAACTGCTAAATGGTAAAATAGTGAACACATTCTTCCTAAGGTTAGCAACAGACATAAATCTAATATCATGACTTTTTACATTTTAAAAAATTCTTTATTGTTTTTAAGAGACAGAGTCTTGTTATACTGCCAAGGCTGGTCTCAAACTCCCAGCCTCAAGCGATCCTCCCACCTCAAGCTCCTAAATTACTGGTATTACAGGTGTGATCCACTATGCCCAGCTGCCTTTAAAACAAAAAACAAAACAAAACAAAACAAAACCCTGAAGGTATTAGCCAGTACAATAATGTTTAAAAAAAAGAAAAGAAAAGATTGCCTGAGCCCAGGGGTTTGAAATCAGCCTAGGCAACTTGGTGAGACCTCATCTCTACAATAAATAAATAAATAAAATTAGCCGGGCTTAGTAGCACACCCCTGTCATTCCAGCTGCTTGGAAGACTGAAGTGGAAGGATCGCCTGAGCCCAGCAGGTCGACATTGGGGTAGCCATGAGTGTGCCACTGCACTCCAGCCTGGGCAATGGAGACTCCAATTCAAAAAAAAAAAAAAGACAAGATATTAAAAATTGAAAAGGAAAATGACTGCATACAACCTTCCCTTCCCCCTAAAATCTACACAGAATTAGATATTTCCAAGGCCTCTACACTAAAAACTACAAAATGTTAGATCAAAGATACTATAAACAAATGAAGGACTATACCATGTTCATGGATTTGAAAAGCTAACTATTGTTAAGACATCAATTCTCCCCTCAAATGATCTAGAGACTTAGTGCAGTCTCCATCAAGATTCTGGCAGGTTTTTTTTGGTTAAAACTGACAAGCTGATTCTAAAATGTACAAAAAAATACAGAAGACCTAGAATAGTCAAAGTAATCCTAAGATTAAAGGTCTTCTATTGCCAGATGTCAAGGCTTAATTTAAGGTAGCTTTCATTCTTCAGTAATTAAAACAGCATAGTATTGGTAAATAGAGACAAACAGACTACTGGAATGCAATAAAGAGTCCAGATACAGACCCACGCATATATGGTCACCTGATTTACAACAAAGGCTGCAAAACAATCTTGTGGGACAAGGGCAGTCATGTCAATAAATGGTGCTGGAACAACAGGATATTCACAGAAACATTTGAACTTGGCTCCCACTCCAAATAAAAAAGTTTAATTAAGTGACATAAATGTGAGAGCTAAACCAATCAAGCTTCTACAAGAAAACATACAAAAATATCTTCATGTTTTTGGCACAAATACCTCTAAATAAAACATTAATAGTGTTAGTCATCACAAGAAATACTGACAAACTGAACTTGATTAAAATTCAGACCTTCTATAAACCAAAAGACATCATTAAGAGCATAAAAAGCCAAAAGGCAAGCACATAATAGAAGACATTTAAGTACATATATTTAATAATGAGCTCAAATCCAGAATATCATACAAATAAATGTGACAAACACAGATTAACTTTATTTTTTTAAAGTGAGCAACCTATATAAAAGTGCTTACTCCACCAACAACAACTGGGGAGAGGAGAACCTATAGTAAATGGTGCTGGGAAAACTGGCTGATCACATGCTGATTAAAACACAATCCCTAACTATCACCACACACAAAAATTAACTCTAAATGGATCAAAGGCCTAAATGTAAAACTCAAACTATAAGAACCTTAGAAAGTGCAGGAGACACCTTTATGGAAATTGGAACTGGCAGCCAATTCCTGATCAAAGCCCCAAGTGTCCATGCCTTAAGAGATAAGAGACAAGTGGGACCTCATCAAACTGACAAGCTTCTGCAAAGCCAAAGAAACCATTAAGAGAGCAGGGAGACAGCCCACAGAGTGGGAAAAAATATTTGCCAACTGTATATCTGACAAAGGCCTAACATCTAGGATCTACAAGGAACTCAAATGTGCTGAAAAGAAAAAAGCAAATAGCCCCATTACAAAGTGGGCAAAAGATATGAATAGACAGTTCTCAAAAGAAAATATATGAGCAGCCAACAGTCATGAAAAAATGCTCAGCCTCACTAGTCATCAAAGAAATGCAAATTAAAACTACACTGAGATACCACCTAACTCCAATCAGGATGATTGTTATCAATAACTCAGAAAACAACAGATGCTGGAGAGGATGTGGCAAAAAGGGAACACTTCTACACTGTTGATGGGAGTGTAAACTAGTTACAGCCTCTGTGGAAAACAGTGTGGTGATTCCTAAAAGATCTAAAAATCGACCTTCTGAAAGACTCCACAATCCCTCTACTGGGAATATACCCGGAAGAACTCAAATCACTCTATAAAAAAGATACCTGCACACGTATGTTTATTGCAGCATTGTTCACAGTAGCAAGAACATGGTACCAACCGTGCTGCTCATCAAAAGAGGACTGGATAAGAAAAAGTGGTACATATACACGATGGAATTTTATGCAGCCATAAAGTAGAACAAATTCATGAACTTCACAGCACCTGGATGGACTCAAGAGTCTATAATACTGAGCGATCTTTCACAGAAACAAAGAACTTAGTATCACATGTTCTCACTCATAAGTGGACCTTAAACAATTATCATAAACTGTAAGAAAAGGATTGGCAGTAGTGGGAAACTGCCAGGAATGGGTAGGGAAATGGGATTGGCAGTAGTGGGAGTCTGCAGGGAAGCAGGGACACACCTCACCAACAAGGGTACCTGCATAATGAACACTGGCATACCTAACCCTGAATTGTACCCCACATCTTTAAAATAAAAAAATTTAAAAAGTTTAAAAAAAGTGCTCAAATAACTTTTGACAAGATGCAAAAAATCCAATTCAGTGGAAGAAAGATAGTCCATGACCCTGCAGTTATCTACCCTACAAGAGCTGTCCTGAGTATGTACAAGAAAATATGTAAAAAGTATTTGCAGCAGCACCAGTTGTAATAATGAAAGAAGCAATTACAATTGTTCACCAGTAGAGGGATAAATAATAAATCTATTTAATTCCTATCATAAATACAAGGAATTAAAATAAGTGAACTAGACCCACGTTATTAGCATTGATAAATCTAAAACACAATGCTGCATTTAAAAAATTTACAAACACACCCTATTATCATTGACAAGTTAAACACCCTAAATAATTCTATTACTTAAAGATTCAAATGCATATGCTATAGAGAATACAAAACATAAATACCATCTTCAAGAGTGATGATCTCAAGATGAGAGTAGCATATGTGGGTGGGGGATGAGGGAATTTATCTCTATAATGTTTAATTTCTATCTCTATAATGTTTAATTTCTAAAACAAACACACAAACTTGAAACACATAAGGTACAATGTTAACAACTGCTTAATCGTGGCAATGGGAATATAGGTATCAGTGATATAACTTACTCTTTTCTTCTGTATACTTTAAATATTCCACAATTCAAAGAGTAAAACAAAACTGCAAAAACAAAACTGCAAAAACTCAGAACCTCCATAATCGGATTTTCCACTTACTCACAGTTATGAGATTTCTGTTGTTAAATAATATATATTACTTATTGATTATGGTCCTTGTATTATATGGTGCCCTAAAGAACAATGCAAGAAAAACATGAGCATAATTTATTTATGTTTTTATTATAAGTTATAGAAATGTGAAGTTACCTCTTCATCAGATAAATTTTTCCCAACTACAGCTTTGAAAAACTTGGTAAGATCTTCTAGAACATGCATCCATTCTGTTGATTCCCAAACACTTTGATAATCCTGGTAAAGAGGGTATGCTCGGCCACAAATGCCATCAATTATTTTGTGAAGAAGCTAGAGAGAAAAAAGGAAATAAATGTACTTACAAGTAAAATAATTTTTAAAAAAATATATCTTCCTTGTAGCTAGCAAATGTTGTTGGGAAAAGTTCATGTTATCTGCAAGAGTAGCTAATGTTAAAGTATACTCTCTATTATATTCACCTTCAGAAGCTAAAATAATTGTATAAGTTATATGAAAAAAAACTGTTGTTTTCCAATATTTCTGAAATGAAGGTAAGTATAAATGCTTCCTTCACCTCAGGATCCTTAGACGTCTTATTTATACTGTTGATCAAACAAAGTGTACAGATTTATACCAAAGTTGTTTACTGCAATCTATGTGTCATTTTCCTTTGTCTCCATTTTCACAACACTCATAACTTTTTCTAGAGTTAGAGGAGTCTCTCTATGTTGCCCAGGCTGGACTTGAATTCCTGGGCTCAAGCGATCCTCCCACCTCAGCCAGATAGCTAGGACTACAGAAACCCACCCCACAGATTCTGGAACAAAACTAGCTAATTTAAATCCTAGTCCTACAATCACGCCTTCATCCTATATTAACTGAGCACCTACTATGCCAGTACTACTCTAGAAAAATGTTTCATATGGTTATCTTTCCCAGGGGATATCTGTAGAAGAGGAGATTTGCACTCGAATGACTTGGAAATAACTGTAAGTAACAAGTCTTCCAATTCTTTTCCCCTAGCTCATCTTCCACATCATTTTAAGCAAGAATTCTTTTCTTACAATACCATACATATCAGAACAGAAACAAGCAACTGGTGACTTCTACTTCCAAATGGTGGCTAATGCACTATGCAAACAGGATTTTTATTTACCATAAATCAACCAACAATTTAGAATGCAGTCAAAATTCCCCACATATAGTCCATCTTGTCTCATGTTGCTTCTATGCTAAAGCAAGGCCCAGAATTCAAACTGAAAAATAAAAGCACTGTCTTTTTGAAATATGCTTTTAATTCATTTACAAATATGTAATGAACATTTCATTCCAGTTATTCCAGATTAAATAAGGTAATGGAAATAAAATACAAAGAAAAAGTGACTCTAATAGGTACTACTTCTGGAGCCCTAACTAGGTACCAAGCCCTGTCCTGGTCCTCACTATAATTCCATGAGGTAACCACTGTTATTATTCCCATTTTACAAATAAGAAAATTTATTCTTAGTTTATTTATTCTTAGTCTATGACAGCAGAGCTTTAGTCTATTTTTAAAAGGGCATACATATAAATTGAGAAGGACAGTTGAGAAGGACAGAAGCTATAGTATATGCTTATGGAAGGTGCAAAGGGGCACAGAGAGGGAGCAAGGAAGAGGCTGTCCTAAAACAATGAGTGGTTGGCCAGGCAAGCAGGAGAGAAGGGCCTCTTTGGTCTAGCAACTACACAAACATAGGATTAAAGTGAAAAGTCACACTGCTTGGTTTGGGGTAAAAGAGCAATTTGGGAGGTGGGGGAATGGAACAGGAGACAAGACTGGAGAGATGGGCAGGGGCAAATGACAAAGGGCCTGGAATACAGCCCCAAAGAGTCCAGACTTCAATCTGCGTCCAACAGGCTGGGAGACATAAAGATAGAAAACAAGAGAGGATGAGATCAAAGACACCATCTTGGTTAAAGAGCAAAAGAATGTGGAGGCCTAAATTGTTGAGGACACTCAACATGGAGGCAGTTTGCAGGAGTAAAAGATACTTGAAAAGGAGAGGCCAAGGGTGAAACTCAGAACTGGTGGAGTAACTGAGTAAAAGCAGTGCTGACACAAACCAAAAATGAGGCCATGGGAGGAGCAGTTCCAGTGGGAAAGATGAGAAGCCCTGTCAAGAACATATTCAATTTGCTCTGCGGTCCCTGTGGCAGAAGTCTGACGTTCAGGAAAGAGATTTTTAGCTGGACGCAGAGATCTGGGAGTCATCAACAGCAGTCAAAGTTATGGGCTTTAGGTAGTAGGATGAGGATAGCAGAGCGGAACGCTAGGGAAAGACTCACCACCTCTACATCTGAGCATGTTCCAGCTTTGCTTACTGGCTGGACAACCTTGGGCAAGTTACTCAAACCTTCTACTGACATACCACGTCCCTCACTTGTAAAATCAGAGAAAACAATGAAAGTGGTTTTTCTTGATCCAAGCAGGAGGTTAATTCCCCAGTGCAGATGGAACAGGGGGAAAAGGAAGGCAGAAAGGGAGACGTATAAAAAATGCTCCACCAGGGCACAGGCTGTATCTCACTCACCATCTTACCTCGTCCCATCAGGGCGTCAGTACATGGTCGACTTCAATGAAACCCTGGAGAACAAATTAATGAGGCTGCTTTTTCCAGAACCTCCCAAACCAGGCTCCTTCAGGGACTCCAGGTGTCAACGGATCTGTCACCCCTTGAGCCCACTCTAACTAAAGTTGCCCAGTTACTTCGCTTCCTTCGTAGCCTTACCAAGTATTTTTCTGTCTCCTTCAAGGAGACAGGGCCGGTGCAGGTCCAGGTCACCACGGTAGCTCCTGCACCCAGCCCGGTGTCGGGTGAACAGGGAACTCTTGGGAGGTGTAAGTTCATTCATGCAATGAATGAATGAAATGTACAAGAGGCAGCTGCACACCACTAGCTCCACGTCCTAAGCTTCCGAGGACGACGTGACGAGCTCACCCCCAGCCCGGGGTCCCGGGGTCCCCACACGTGGGCGCAGATGTGTCGTCCCCACCCGGGTGCCGCTGCGCGCGCGGAGCCCGGGGAAACCCCGCTCCGAGCCGGGCGCGGAGGTGGCGCCCGAGGCGAGTCCTCCTAAGCTCCCGAGAGGCCGCAAAGGCCCGGCCACCCCGAATCACGCCCCTGCAGCGGCCCTTCCCAGGGAAGCCCACGAAGACGTCGGGGTCGCACCAGGCCTGTCCCCCACCCTCGCCACCCCCGCCTCCCCCGCCTCCCCCGCCTCCCCCGCCTCACCTGCGGGACCAGCTCAGCCGGCAGCTTCTGTAGCCGCCACAAGGGCGTCCCCTCTTCCGGCTCCATCCCGGTGCGCAGACGGGACGTGGGTCACGTGACCAGGCCCGCCCGCGGCCCTTAAAAGCGGGCTGGATCACGTGACTCTCCGACGGAGAGGGGCGGGGTGGAGGCGCCGGCGACCTCGTGCGCCTGCCCGGACAGAGCCCCGCCTTCCCTGTAACCACGGGAGATGTTGCTTAAACAGCCACCTTCTGTCACTGTGAAGGCAGATTTACAGATCCTTCCACGCCGTCTGCAACGTTTTTCAGAGTTCCACAGAGCTTTCTCTCCACTCTTTAGAATACCGTCTAAAAGCCGGGCGCGGTGACTCACGTCTGTCAGCCCAGCACTTTGGAAGGCAGAGGCGAGAGGATTGCCTGAGCCCATGGGTTGGAGACCAGCCCGGGCAACTTAGCGAGACCTCGTCTTCACAGTGAATCAAAAAATCAGCCCGGCGTGATGGCGCGCGTCTGTAGTTCCAGCTACTTGGAAGGCTGAGGCAGAAGGATCGCCTGAGCACAGCAGGTAGAGTCTGCGGTGGCCGGGAGAGTGCCGCTGCACTCCAGCCTGGGCGACAGAGAGAGATTCTGACTAAAAAAAAGAAAAGAAAGAAAAGAAAAAGAAAACCGTCTAATAAAGATAACCATATATCTGGGTGTGCTCAGAGTCATTGTCTTGAGTTTTAACCTATGTTTCTACTCAAGTATTCCAAATAGGAGGGTAAATTAAAGGTTAACCCTGAGCAAGGTTCTTTATATAGCTTATCCTAAAAAGAGGACACTATTCTCATCCCCATTTACAGACAACAAACGTGGTCCGAGAAATCACTAGGGTCGTCAGATTTAGCAAATAAAAATACAGGGAGCCCAGTTGAATGTGAAACTTCAGATGAACCATGAATAATAGTTTGTTATACGTGTACTCTAAATATTGCCTGGATGTACTCACACTAAAAAAGTATTCGTTGTTATCTGAAATTCAAATTTAACTCGGGGTCCTGTATTGTGTCAATTACCCAGGTCCTGTATTGTGTCAATTACCCAACCTAAGTAAGAGGCACAGCCTGGAAAACAAAATAAGACTCTAAAGCCACACTCTGAAGTTGGATTACACCTGAAGTCCAAAGAGCCTTTCCATTGTTTCTATCATTATTATAGCTGTTACTTTTATCAGGTGTTGGAAAATTCGGGACTAATAAGACAACCCTGTCATGAAAAAGTGGACAATAGCTAGCAGACAGAAACAGGAACTTCAATCTAATTTGTAGGCTTAATCATAAAAGTGGCATAAAGTGGTGAAGCATATACCAGATAAGAAAGTAATTACTCAGCCTGTGGTCTATGCAGAGAAAAGTTACTCATTGGTAGCAGTCTTTAAGGTCTAGCCCTGTCACCCTCTCTCTGCTTGGTGCCCTGACTCTTGAAGGTGAAAGTAATTTTTACCCCTCTGAATTTTCATGGTACTTTATCTGTCCTTCACTTAAAATATTTACCACTTTCTAACTCTTCATGCAGATAGAAGTGGACAATTGGAGGTGTCCTAACTGAAATGGAATTACGTTAAGACACTTTGTGAATAGAAGCTCCTCAAGTAATAGTTAAAACGAGGAATCTGGAAATATTCTACCTACTCTAAGTCTGATGGGAAATCTATTGATGGGTAAGATCTGTTTTAAGAAAAAAAATAAATTTTGTATATTGTGGTAATTGATAGACAAATACATATCAAGCATCTGCTATATGCCAAACATTTCATGTATTTTATCTTATTTATCTTACTACAGCCTTGTATGGTGGGTGGTACAGATAAGGAAACAAGTTTGGTGAAGTGATGCATACTTTGTCGAAGGCCACATAGGTAGCAGTTGCTAAGTCACTGATCTGAATCCAGGAATGGTGACCTCAGGCTACATACTCACTGCCCCTGCTGAAGAAAAGGAGGTACACTTGAGGTTATATGACTTACTTAAGGCCATCTAACAGATTACTAAATGAGGCAAAGTAACACACCCAGCAGGGCCCAGGATGTAGTCAGAAGACACAATTAGGTGCTGATTTATCTTCCAAGCAACACTGAGTACCAAGAAGAATTTGGTGTTTTCTTTGGAATTTGGATGTAACAAAATTTAACTTGTAACAATTATGACTTCTAAAGTAGTTAACAAAGAGAGAGAGAGAGAGAGAGAATTTAATATCTGCCTTTTGATTAGTAAGAGGTTGTTCTTATGTGTGTAATCTGAGAGGTTTTCAAACATATTTTTGTCTCTTCTAGTCCTGTATCTACTAAGTGAACTCTGGTCTCCATCTTTACCAAATCTTATTTGTACTGTAGTAATGTCTAAAAGCATGGACTCTGGAGATAGACTTCTTACGTTCAAACCCCAGCTCTGCAAATGACTATGTAACATTAGGCAAACTATTTCACCACTGTGTCTCTGGTTCTTCATCTGTGATTGGTTATCATGACTGCATAGAATTTACAGGGCTGTTGTAAATTGATATACATGCATGTAAAGTTCTTGAAGTCTGGCCTGGCACATAGAAAATATTATTGGATTTCCTTCTAAGTAGACTTCCTTCCTCTTCTGTTATCTGGCCAATGGTTAGTGGTCCTAGAAAGCAAAGAATCTCCTTATTTACCCTCTAAAGCAGAGTGTTGGACTGACTCCATCCTGGGAATGTGATCTGCATCTAGTACCCAACTAGTCTGGTGAACAGTAAAGAGGATGTGGGTCAGTGAATGAGGCTGGGAGAGATGTTGGAAGAGCTCAGGTAAACCCTTGCTTGCTGAACTGAAACTGGGATTCAAGCTTGCTGATGTGAAAGAGTTAACTTAGTGCTTCTTTCTGAGGTTAATTTCAGTGAGTTTGGAGGTGGAAGGAGAATGGAATGTGGTGCACCATGGCTTCATTCATTCAATCATTCTTGAACATCTACTATGCACTAGGCACTCCAATGGCTCTGAGAATGCAAAAACAAATGGGCAGTAACTCACCTGGTTTTGAGGTCATTGTCTAAAAGGGGCTCTTAGATAATGAAAAAGCAGACAATGAAGATAATGACATCAACTGACGAGTATCTTGAAAAACATGAAACAGAGTCATGTATTAGAGAGGGATGGTAGAATTATACTTTAGATTGGCCCAGAAGCAACTCAATGAGAAGTGGCTATATAAGGCACAAGGCTGAGAAAGAGACATGAAGGCAAATAACTGGGCAGGAGGAGAGGTTCCAACAGAATGCAGGAGTTCTGAGGTAGGAGAGAGCCTGCCTTGCTCAAGAATGCCTGAAGGGCTGTGTGACTGGACTGCAGGAAGCAAGACCAGAGTGGTAGAGACAATGACAGAGATGCGGGCAGGGATTTTAATCAGTGAAATGATGTGGACTGGTTCGCATTTTTAACTGGTTACATCTGGAAAACAGAGCCACTATGAGAAACAGACCTCAGAGGGCACGAGTAAAAGAAGAGAAACCAATTTGGATAATACTCCAGACAAACTCTAACTAATATAGACAGTCGGGGTACTATGATCCAGTTCGCACCCTCAGACTGTAGAGTTCCAGGGGCTCAGATTGGAGCACGACACAAATGGAAGAAGTCTGTTTTGGAGTCAAGATCTAAAGAACTTGGTTGTAAAATAGACACGTGTGGAAGAGAAAGAGCTGTAGAAGTAAAATGCAGGCTAAAAGAAATGGTAAAGCACCCGATTTCCAATCCATCAGGGACTTCAAGCCTTGACTAAGATAAAGTCATAGACAATAGCTTCTGTGCTGATGAAAGACTGTTGGGAGGGAGGTATACAGGCTCTAGGGTGACACAGTCCTGGCCTCTAATTATGTCTCCACCACTTGCCAGCGGCACAAACTTGGGCAAGGCGGGAAGACTCCCTGTACCACGTGTGATGGGGATCAAACCACCTCTTACCTAAAAAAGCTATTCTGAAGCGCAAATAAAATAGTGCACATGAAGTGTTAAACATACCACCCAGAATGCAGTTGGCCTGTAGTAAAAGGTAACTTATTTTTCACAGTAATAGTATTACTTGAGACACAAGTAGTGCCCACCTGGAGCCCTAGGGACAAAACAAGACATTCACACACATGCACACACATCCTATGCCACAGATTCAAAGTATTCATAAGCAGCAGACAGGTGGGTCAGGCGAGGTACCTTGATAAGAAAAGGTAAAGAAAACATGATTAATCTTTCTGAATTCCTCCTCAACCAACCCCTTTTTTTTTGAGTTGGGGTCCCACTCTGGCACTCAGGATAAAGTGCAGTAGTGTGATCACAGCTCACCACAGCCTCCACCTTCTGGACTCAGGTGATCCTCCTTCCTCAGCCTCCTAAGTAGCTAGGTACATACTACCATGCACAGCTAAATTTTTTTGCTATTTTGTAGCAATGAGGTCTAGCTACACTGCCTAGGCTGGTCTGGAACTCCTGACCTTAAGCAATCCTCTTGCGTCAGCCTCCCAGAGTGCTGGGATTACAGGCATGAGCCACCATGCCCAGCCCTGAACACCCTTTAGTAACTGACTTGGGGAGGGGAGTGGTGGAAGAAGTTTCTCCAATCCTTTGGATACAAGCTAAGGACCTTCTCAATTTGACATATTGGTCAAGACTTCTAGCTGTTCTCAATATCTGTGCTCTCTGTTATGGGTTGAATTGTGTCCCTCCACAATTCATTGTTGGAGTTCAAAACCCCAAGACCTTAGAATGTGACCTCATCTGATGATAGGGTCTTTACAAAGGTAAGCAATTGAAGCAAAGTTATTGGGCTGGGCCATTGTCAAACACAACTGATGTCCTTACAAAAAGGGGAAATTTGGACAAAGATAGACACATGGGGGGGAAAAGAAGATGAAAAGATCTAGGCAGATGACAGCCATCAAGCCAAGAAGAAAGACATAGAACAGAGGAACAGAGCCTTCTTTCAGAACCTTCAAAAGAAACCAGCCCTGCCCATGCCTGGACTTTTGACATCTAGCCTCCAGAACTGTAAGACAATAAGTCTCCGTTGTTTAAGTCACCTGGTTTGTGGTACTTTGTTATGGCAGCCGTAGAAA